TATGGAGGCTTTACAGTATTGCTCAAAATCGAGAATCGCGGCTAAACTGTTGAAGATATCAAAATGCAATTTGCACCAATCAAGATTTCATGAAATTTGAGCCTCAGAATGGGGGGTCCATTTTTTTCTGTCTCTAAAAATAAAGGGTATTTCCATAAGAAAGTGTCCAATTTGGACCACCCTGTACATATACATATTTTGAAATTGCATTTATAAATTGAACTTTGCATTTTCATACGAAATACCACCCGACAAAAGCAAACTGTTATTAAATTAATCAAAATGCAGATTTTTCCACTAAATAATCTTTTTTTATGTTCCGGTTGCTGCACTGTAATAATAACTTACACGAAATGGTTGCGAAGCTGAAAAATTAATTTAAAGTTTAAGTAGTTTTGATTTAATTTACATTTTATTAGGTGCGAGTTATGGCGACACCAAAAAAATATGTTGTTCAAAAAAGTATTTTTTCTACTGACGTTTCATAATAGCAACTTTTCGATTGTCATTTCAGTTTTGAAACGACATTCTTTTAGGCACTGAGTGCGTGAAAGTTACTTTTAGGCACTCAGTGCGTAAAAGTGACTTTTGAATGCGTAAAAGTGACTTATGAGTGCGTAAAAGTAATTTTTAAGCACTAGTGCCTAAAAGTGTCATTCATTATTCAGAAATAAAAAACACACTAAACACATATTTGAATTTTGTTTTGTATTTATTATGAATATTGAAAATGGAATTACTGAATTGAACGTTTGGGTTACTCAAAACAGAAGTTTGTGTTATTACCTACTTTTTATTTTAATTATTGATGTCGAATTTTGAAAAGAAAATCGCATGAAAAGTGTCAGGTGTCAAGTAAAAGCAGGTAACAAAGATTTTGGGTGTAATCGACTTATTCACATGAAATAAAATTGTGTTTTTTTATTATAAAATGCCAGTAGAAAAAATCTTGTATACAATACGTTACGAAACGATGTCTTTTAGTCACTCGACGTGTTGTCCAACTCGGCTTTGCCTCGTTGGACAATTTTCACGTCGCGTGCCTAAAAGACGCTCATTTCGTAACTTATTGTATAAATAGCTATATCATAATTGGCGAGCAAAACATGCTGTCCACACATTTTGTGTATATTTATCAAGTCGGTCAATTAACAAAATTTTAATTTAATAGGCATTATACATAGTTACGAAATTTGCTTCATACAATTTCTGAGGCGGAATTCTGTAAAGCATAGAGATCGTTATCGATATCGCCATGGCACTTGCTGTCTTCTTCACTCTTTTCGAAATCAATAGAGAGGGGACGTCAATAGAGATAGCGAAAATATCGCTATTCGTTACAGAATCCCAGCCCTGGTCACTGTTAGGAAACCGCGAGGGGGTGAAGCTTATGGCAAAGACAGGTATGACGTCAGGTGACCATTAGCGTTCTAATGTAGGCAGCCACCAGCTCACATTCCTTTGGAGTATTAGATTAAAATCGACGGACTTTAGTATAATTATCTTATTACTAAATTTATCAAAAAAAAATCAAAACATTGATTGTGCTTTTGTGGGACCACAAAACCCAATAGGGACGTAATTTTCATGCTAGAATCTAATAAATTAAAGCCAGTGCATAAATGTCTAAGATAAGTGCGTTTATAAAATCGTAAATTTCTCAATGTGTACGAAATTTATTACTTTATTTATTATGGAGTTTTACGAGACCCATTCTTGAGGTTTCCGTGACTAACCAATTTACCAGTAGAACGTGAATATATTACGCCAGACCCTAAAACTGCTCCTATTAGTTATAGATTGTTAAGGCTAGACTTTAGGTGGACCTGAACAATAAGCTCCGCTACTCTGATTAATTTCCATTGTCCAATATTCGAAAAAGTCCCTTAAATGGACTTATTAATTATTCATACAAATTATAATGGTCATATTATCCTCCAGCGTTCGAAGAATGAATTTTTATATCAAGAAACAATGCAACTATAAATTTAGAGTCGCATGTTTGCCGCAAATAAATTCGCTCGAGGACTGATATCCCGGTTCTTCCTTTTAAACGACGCACGCTTTCCAATTATCTTAAGTAATAATTTGACTTTCCTTTATTTTTGAAAAGTTGTTAAGTAGAAATAATATTTGATAGCGATAAAAATTATGCGTGGGTTCTGTTTGAGCACCAAGACTTAACTTTTTGCTATATTTTTTAAAATTCAAGTTTGTACGTATCAATAATATACATTGTTCGAGGTAGGTAATATCTAGCGGTTGGTCAGACATTCTGAAACCTCGGGCACCTGATTCTTGGAGCAGCAATTGTCATGACACAAAATTATCTGTCTATGTCACTCATATGAAATTTTGTATGAAACTGAGAAGGACAGGGCACTTGTTCTCATACGAACCCTGCTCCCTTGTTTCAAGAATCAGTCGCCGGACCTTGTTGACAAAAAATTCGCGTAGGATCAGTGAAGAAGATTAAAAATCAACAATCGATGCTAAAATTCAAATTATAAATATGTATTGCAAAATTACAAGGAACAGCGTTTCATGGGATCACCTATACTTAAATGTAAGCAAAGGCTAGGAATCAAGAAAGATTAATCACTTAAAAATTAGAATTTCAAGTGCAAATTCTAAATCAAAAGGTAAAATAGATTAAATACGAAATTAATCATAAATATTGTCCAAATCTAATACAGTTTAACAAGAAAGGACCCAGGAAAATCTCGGTTATCTAGGATTTTCGTGTCATCAATAAACGCCCTCTTTTCTTCACCAACCAACTTCAAACAAACCAAAGGATGATACTATTTGTGGACTAGATTTTTAGTAGGACCCTCGTGTAAATATCGCTTGGATAATTTCATATTTTCATATGCGAGGCATTCGTTTAAATCGCGACTTAATCCTCTGCTCGTGGAAAATCTAATAAGCTCGGTGGAAACTTTGCTTCGCCAGTTTAAACTTTCTTGTTGGTTAAGCAAACTGGATTACTTATTTTCGAAGGCTTGTTGCGGAGGTAACACGCAAAATCTTATTGAGTAAACATTCGGAATTGCATTACAATTTTCTATCATACATCTGGTTTTTTGAAGATTGTCACGACTCTGGGGTTCGTTTATTCCAAATCAAAGTCCAATTAACACAACAACAATTTATTCTTTGTTACTACACACTCTGACACTAATTACTTTAATAATTAACTCAAACAACTTAACTCTTTACAATAATCACTATCTAAAATGTATCACAGCCAATCTTAAACTTAACTACTTACTTATACCGGCCTTTATATATCTGTAATCTATTCTTGTAAAATCCAGAATAAACGCGATAATCCCCTTTCTTGAACAAGGCAGTCTTTTCTGGAATTTCAGGCATGTATTCTGTATACCCTGGCAAAAGCACACCGTAGCAATACAAATGAAATAAGAACATGTTTTCGAACCGTAAGAAGCTTAACGAGTTTGATTGAGTGATAGAGAAACTAAATGTATGCAAAATATTATTTGTACTGTCCAATACATACAGACAATATTTATATGCATTTCAGCTTTGTCCAGTAAATATAATTAATTTCAAAGTTCCCAAGCGTTGTGTTTTAAATAACGATCGTGAATATTAATGCTGCATATTGCAGTATTTATAAACCAAAAAATGTCAAACGGTAGACTAAACTGGAAAAAATCTACATTTTTTTTTTAATTTGGCTAACAATGCTTGGCTTTCTTCTATCGCTAATTAAAATCAGACCAGAGAGACAACATTGAGCTGCAAAAACTGCCTTTGTCCTTTGTTCTACCGAAAAGCAGGAGTATAAACAGTGTTCGGAAGTTTCTCTCATAGACGAGACGCGATAAGAGAAATTTCTTGTTAGTGGATTAGATCGTAATTTACTTGAAATGAGCACCCCAACCCAGCTAAATAAATTTTCCTTGTCAAATATATCGGAGACCATTTTTCATCTGAAGCGCAAAAAGGTTTCATGGAAAAAGCGTCGAAGGCTAGAGAATTAGGGTGAAATGCTAAGGATAAAAATATGTTAGAGCTTTAAATTCAATAGTTCTCTGTGACTATTATTATTGTGTTATTTTAACATTATTTTTTCTTTTGAGTATTTTTACGTAAGCGTAATTAAAGATGAAGTTTTTGCCAGACACATTGTGAATACTAGAAAGCAACAATCATCCGAAACTATCGATCACTACTGTCAATCTCTAAAACTGCTTTCCAAAAACTGAAATTTTAAGTATCCTAGACATCTTAGAAATCAATGTCCTGCTCGAAACGCAACGTGTCAATATTTACAAAAATCAGGACATTTAGCAAAAGTTTGTTTGAAATCCAAATACAAAATCAAAACCTAACTGCTTCAGCTTCCACTTACGTGATGGCTTCTGCTTCAACAGTACCTCTACGCTTATCAAAAGCACAGTTGTGCTTATGCTTTTAGTAGACACTGGAACCTTCGACAGTTTCCTGAATCCTGGATTAAAATTTCGCCATTCGTCCTAATATCGAAATCAATCTAAGCCAAGGTAAAGTTTAATGGCGATTTGAACTCATACTTTATTGGTAATTTCTGATCTCTGTACCGATCCTGTATTTGTTCATTATATTAAGAAACAACACTGTCGTGTAGAAGTCCAGTTTGGTGCGGAGAAATCTCCCTCATCAGTTTGCTGTTTGATGGAAGCAAAAGTTGAACTGCCATCCTTATTTTTAAATTTCACTACAAACTGTAGACTTATAATCACCAATTCAAGCAGACACTAAGCCGAGGATGAACAATCCATAAAGCAGGAAATCAAGAAACTTTTAGAAGAAAAAATAATCGAATAAAGCAATTCTCTATGGCGAGCTCGAGTTTTAATCACTATATATACTAGACGCCTATCCGCTTCCAAATATTGAAATAAAAAGATTTCCAAATATGGAGTGTTTAGCACAATTGACTCGAAATGTGCCTATCATCAGATGCACGTCAAAGAACAGGTTAAACCATGGTCTCCGACATTCCGACAGTAATTGAAGAAAATAAGAGTTTACGAGCGCTGAATACGGTTCCTCCTTACAGAAGGCAAAACACTAAGCTCGCTGATAGAGACTGCATCATTCAGACAGGTAGAGTAGAAGTTCTCATAATTGATGAGGTATTTCTCACGGAGCTTTATAGAGAAGCAGCGGAACATGCCAATGTCGAAGAATCTTAGATCGAAGGATACGCCAAAAATAGCTATCGATAAAATAAGAACTTCGACTTCGCTTCTGAAATCAAAGATAACAGGTCTCCAGGAGGCGACGATATAACAATATAAGGTCTGTTTCTGCAGAAATCACAAACCAGTCAGAGCGAATTTCATTGGTTGAAAACAGTCAGAAAACTAGTTTCAACCAATGAAATTCACTCTGACTGGTTTGTGATTTCTGCAGAAACAGACCTATAAAAGGACGAAGATCAAAAATTCGCTATCCAAAAGCTCTTTAATCTATCGCTTGTCAAAGGCAGAAAGTATTTCCAGTGACCAAAATCTTAAATTTCTATGAATCACCACACAACTGGTTTGTGGTCCTCCACTAGAATAAGATTCTCTGCAAATTTCAGATTCCTATCTATGATACAATAATTTATTATTGAAGACATTATTTTTCAAAGTTTTAGTAATTTATCTTTAAACCCACCTTATTACAAACATTTTTCCATGTTGAGATTTGTGTATGTCTTTAAATGAGCATTTAGGTTCCCCCAAAATCCATACTGTGCAATCTATCTTTGTTTGATTATATAGGGCATTCAAACCAATTATTGCAACTCTGTTCATTAATATTTACCCAATGTTTCTATTCCAGGTAAGTTTACTCGCTGTGATAAAAAATAACTGGTAAGCTATATAACATTACACATTTTACCATCAATCATATGTAGGTATGTATAGTATTTTTAAGACCTATTTAGAAGAATTTTGCAAGACAATCTTAATTAACCATCTATAATTTTTATTTTACATCGCATAGAAAATCATAATATGTAAATTCTATTAAAAAGAATAAACAATGAATCATGGATCAAACTCTCGTCAGAAAAAGATGACGGAAAACTGTATAACGTCCAGTAAAATTTTATTCAAATATCTGTTTGAATCGAGGTGTAAATGGCGGGTGAAGTTACCTTAGAAAACATCAAATCGGAAAACTCTGATAACGTTAAATCGAAACTGGTGCAAAAATTAGCTGAAATGTTTCAAAAAGAAAAACAAACAACAATGCAGGGAACAAAGTGAATTCTGGTGTTTGCAACTTGAACTGAATGAGTAGGTATACCTACGTGAAACAACATTCTGATATTATTTGGTTTTACTCCACAAAACACAACTTGACATTTCTCCATTTACTCTTACTTGGTAGTATCGTTCATCCAGTAGATCAGCGATCAAAGACAAAAGCCGCCCTCGCACTCCATAATGTTCCAACTTTCCAAGCAACAGGTCATGTGGGACTTTGTCAAAGGCCTTCTCATAGTCCAAGTAAATTTTATCTGTCGGCTGGGAGTTATCGTGGTATTCCGTCCAATCATTCAGACATTCTAATAGGTTTGTTGAGGTTGAACGTTTTGAGAGAAACCCATGTTGCGACAATGGTATTAAGTTATTTTCAAAAAAGAAATTTGTTACTTCTTTTACCATTATTTTCTCCATACATTTCAATGGGTTACAGGTTAGGCTAATTGGACGGTAGTTTTCCGGCTGATGTCTGTTGCCTTTCTTAAAAAGTGGAGTAACAATTGACAGCTTCCACTGCTCTGGTACTCTTCCTAGCTCCATACACTCCTGCATAGCATCCGCGAGTCGTGAACCAACTGAATCACTGCAGTTCTGTAGCAATATTGTTGGAAAACCATCTGGTCCAGGACTTGAGTCTTTTTTCATGTTTTTTAAAGTTTCTTTGACCTTTTCTTCTGTGAACTGCACAGTGCTAATCGCGTTCTGTACTCTGGTACTCACAGGAAGTTGGGGAAGGGGACGATTTTGACGTGGAGTGAAGGATTTGTTAAATTGTTCAGCAAATTTTTCTGCCATGGCTTTAGAGTCTAAGATATCTTGCGTAATAGGGTCCTTGAGTGTAATTGTAGTCACCTTACAGTTTAGAGTTTAGGTTTCTGCTTATACAGGGTGTCCAAGAATATGTGGGCAATCTCTCGGATTCAGATAGAACATAAAAAAATAACATGACAACTTCCTATAAAAAAAAAATCCTACGGCCCCCCCTACAAAGTTACGTGCCCCTAAAGGACGCCTCTGAAAATCGGTTTTTTATTGATAACTTTCAAAATACTCCGTGTAATTTTTTTTTTTTAAATATGATGGATACTAGATAAGTCCCCTTAAAATGGACCCTCTCAAACACACTTGATCAATCTAGTTTGCCAGGGACGGACTAGCTTTAACGCAATAATGACACTGAGGAAATATTAGTAAAAAGGATTAATTTTCACTGTCGCGAAATAAGGGATAAAATTGAAGCATTATCGAGAGTCGAACAATCTTTCATTAAAAAAGGTATGGAATGCATAAGATTAGAAGGATTTCATGTTGAGTCGACATAAAAAATTATTTAATAAAAACCATTAATACACAAAAACAGATTTTTCTCGAAAGCAGCTCATTTTTTCGACATCGACAGTGCCTTTTTTCTAGTTCAAGATTGAAACTATCTAAAAATATTGTTGCTATGTCTATATCATACAGGGTGTAAAAAAATTTAGCATTATTGTGTTAAAGCTAGTCTGTCCCTGGCAAACTGGATTGGCTAAGTCTGTTTGAAAGGGTCCATTTTAAGGGGTCTTATCTAGTATCCATCATATTAAAAGAAAAAAAAATTACGCGAAGTATTTTGAAAGTTATCAACAAAAAACCGATTTTCAAAGGCGTCCTTTAGGGGGACGTAACTTTGTAGGGAGGGCCGTAGGAATTTTTTTTTATAGGAAGTTGTCATGTTATTTTTTTGCGTTCTATCTAAATCCGAGAGATTGCCCACATATTCTGGGACACCCTGTATACTTGTATATTCTTTCAGGTGAATCTGATTTTACTAGATCATGTTCATATGTTTTTCTAGCCTCTTCGAGCTTTTGTTTAAGAGCATTGTTTTGTAACATGTAGGCCTGGAAGTTCTCTTCTGTTCTGTTTTTTCTGTATTCATCCCACAATTTACGCTTTCTATCAATTTCTCTAAATAGATTTTGGGTTATCCATGGCTTTTGCTGGTTAATTTTTGTAGACTTCAATGGAATATGCATCCTAACTGCTTCATTCAAAACTGTCTCAAAGTTTTCGAAGTTATTTTGCTCTCTGTTGGGTTGTTGTTGTCTGACAAAGTTGTTTATTTTATCATATTTGGCAGTATGAAAGTTTCTTTTCAACACTTTTTTTGTTGGTTTGTGTGGGAGTTTTAATTGTGTTTTTGCGGTGATTCTGACATGATCACTACGCCCTATAGGTGCTTCAAATTTAAGGTCAAATACACTTTTAGGATCACTGCATAAAAACAAATCCAACAATGAGCTCTGATCGTTCCTATATCGTGTTGCAAATTTGATAAGTTGATGAATGTTGCTATCACAATACACGTCTACAAAATCTTGTGTTTTTTTGTCGGCTGGAGTTACAGTCAAGTTTTCCCAGTTTATGTTTGGGTAGTTGAAATCTCCGAAAACGAATGTTGGAATTTTTGTGGTAAATGCATTGCATATTGTATTTGTCAGCTGGGTATTGGCTTGCTCAGTAGTGGTGTTTCCAGGTCTGTATATACAGGCAACTATATAATTTTTAACTTGTCTATGTGTAGATCTAGCCATACAGCATCAACAGGTGCATCTGTCGGGTGGTTTTGAGCAAGGGTGCAACTTAGGTTATGCCCATCTATTTGATTTTTAACAAAAATACATGCTCCGCCCCCTTTTTGATTTGGTCGATCTTCTCGAAAAATGCTGTAGCCATCTAGACATATTATGCTGTCATCAATCCCATCTCGTAACCAGGTTTCGGTAAGCATAACTATTTTTGGACTATGAGCCAATACCCTTACTTTCCACTCATCTATTTTATTTACCACTGATGACAGGTTGCTGTACTAAAAAGAGATTTCAACTACCTCTGTGCCTATTAGTTTTTTTCATTTTTTTCAATGACCCTCGGTATCACATTGATGTACTTAATGATGACATTTTCTTTTCCTTCACTCTTTTACTTTTCTAGTTCTATAAGTACTTGCTTCAGGTATTTTCTTTGATTTTCTGTTTGGTCAGCCTTGATATATACTCCTGGTACATTCTGTTCAAGAATTTTCCTGTTTTTGAGGGCTTTTAATGCTTCGTATCTATTTGACAAAATTATCTTTATTGGTCTTTTTTTTCCAGCTGTCTCGCTACCTAGCCTGAACATTTTAGCGGTCTCTGGCAAGCCTAGATTCATCTGATTGTACAATCTACTTATAGTGTCTTTCTCGTCTTTCATTTACTTATCTAAATTGGTTTCTTTTTACTCATCCACGCCAAAAAAAAAGGATGTTGCCAGCTCTTCGTTCTCTTTCTTTAATCTCAAACAGAGTGATCTCAACCCCAGATTCACCAACTTTTACCTCTGGAGTTTTTTTTATGGTATCTACTCTTTGTTCCAGATTTTTTAGTGCCTCGGCATAGCTAGTTCCTGGAATTTTTTTGTCCACTACTTGGATCTCATTCTTAAGATCTTTTACTTCTACCCTAATAGCTTCATTTTCCGTTCTTCTACGATCCATAGATTTTTTTAAAGAGTCTACCTCACTCAACCGACTTGAAGTTGATAATGGTTACAACTTTGGAAACAAAGAAAATTCGCCCATCCTTGTTGAATGTTTGTTTTTCATCAGAAAGTTCGATACTCGGTTCGATAATTTTAAGGATAAATAAATAGGAACTAAAGCACTGAAAGATTTGAAAATACCGTGCTTTTTAAAAACCGGAATTTAAATTTCAAAATTTCTCAATGAGTTTTGGTTGAACGTTCAATAGATATCAAGGTATTTTCAATGCATTGTTTTGTACCTTTCACCTTTCAAAAATTATACTGTTATGCAGGCGTTTCAGTCTAGAGACTTCTAGATTAAATGGTTTCGTATATAAAACATGTAGTAGTCAGTTAGTTTAAATAAAATAATTTGTTGTTGTTGATAGAAAAGAGAGTTCCATGGGACTCAGAGCATCCGTGACAGTAAGAACCAACGCAACGCTTATTTATTTTCTGTTTCTGTTTTTCGAAAAATACATTCAAACTTTAACAAGATTTAGGAATGCATTTATTCAGGCAGGTTCTATTATAGAGAATTTTATGATATTCTCCTATTCCGGCTATCTATTATTTAATAAAAATCAATGATGCTGCAAGAAAGGAAAATGGGGAAAACTACAAAAATCAAACAAAAAAACATCATGGATTTCTGTGTTTTATTATATCTACATAATACATGAAATGTACATTGAAAGTCAATAGAAAGGTATTAAATCATTCTTTATACATGTCAGTCCCTTCATAATTATTTTCGGAAAATACTTCCGTTTCTATATATTAATATTAAGTTATTCAGAAATGGTAGTATTATACTTTGAATAATTATCCATCAGTATCGGTAGCAAAATACCGATAAAAATTATTCTTTACCTGCCAAATTTTTTGAAGCCTTCGGGAACACAACGAACAATGACTGTTTTATTGTAATAGAGCCAAATTTTATAGAATTCACAATAGAGTTTAAATTTTAAGTAAACTTCAGCTTACCTATTGTTCATCGGTCAGCACTTTAGTATTCAATAAAATAAATAGAGTTGGTTATTGTAGATTTTGTAAATAAGTATAGATGAATATGTTTACATTATCACATATTTTGGAATAATATTCATTTAGTACTGGAAATGTAGAAGCCATAGGTTACTCTATCCTAGAAGAAATGTTTAGCTTTTGTACTTAACACATCTATAAAATGGAATGAATTTACTCATCATTTTTTATATTATCACTGTTTCTTTGATTAGTGTCGTTCCTTTAGCCTTTTATTCATTTTGTTAGATGCCTTCATTATTACAACGATATATTTGTACATTAAACATGTCAATACTGAACACAAACGCCATTACTCTTAGCAAAAATATATACCATGCGCTACTACCTTTTTACATTTCGTTTTCCTGCAAAATATAGTTTTTCTTCTTTTTTTGCTACTTTTTCCTTACTGCTAAAACAAATATCTAATATTATTAAATCAGTGTTTTAATTGTCATACTTATAACTTTTAGTATTCTCTAGAAAGATGCAAATTAGTGCTTGTCAAAACTTGCTTAACACCACTCGATTCTGAGTAAAAGCTTGAAAGATTGGAAACATCTATTTAATTAGTAACAGAGACTGACTATATTATATCTCAATTGAATTTGGAATAAGTTTATTATGATTAAACTGAACACTAAGCATGGTTTGCATGGACAATTTTGTAATAGTCCCACTTTCTGATGATTTGGGCATTTGTTACCATACTCTGTTTTAGTTAAACTTTTTTAATAAATCTATGGGTCTTTACAAAAAGGAAAAAATTGTTGCAAAAGGAAATATTAATTGTAAACTAACGCTTCAACTATACACTGTTTTATGATTAACTTATACCTGAAATACTGAGTTCGATCAGTAAAATAAATTTTGGGCGATAAACGTAGAAAGTATTTTTTTTACCATTTTTAATGGCTATACTTAGGAGTAATAAAAGTACTAATCCAAAAAAAAAAAAATAGCGTTAATCTACGTGTTAATATTCCTGATCAAACTTTCGCCATATGATTTTGCAAAGGTCCAAAATTAAAACATAAATAATTAAAAATAATAAAATTAAATAACAAAACGGAAAACAATATACTTATTTGGTAATAGTGACCTTTATAAATCACATAACAAAAATTTGCCACTTAAACCTAAGAAGATCCCCACCGAAGACAGATTTGGACGAATACAAAAATTATCACCAAAAAAAAAAAGTCTAAATCCTCGGCACAATGTCCACTTTCCGTATTTACAAGTCTATATACACCGCGCACTAAACAAGGTTTCAATCAAAAATCAGCATACTAAATAATGATCAATAAAACAAGCCTTCTGATGCTAAGATAATTTTTGTTTTGGCCATTAATGGTAACTTATAATAGCCTAAGGGTAACCGTGAGTATGACGTAGACAGAACTAAGCAAGGACACTAAAGAAGTAGCACTAGAAGCAGGACGATCTGGCTTCTTTTCCAATGATGAAGCAATTCGAATGGTATTATCTTCGTCGTTTAAATTATCACTTGTCTTGCTTGCAGCATGCAGCTCCTCTTGTTTTCTTCGGATAACAACTTCTGGAGATACCATGGGAGTAACATCTTGGGTGGTCGATGTGGTTCTAGTAGTGGTTGTGGTTGTAGTGGTAGTAGTGGTTGTGGTAGTCGTAGTAGTTGGAACGAAACTGTTGTTGTGCAAAAAGTAAACTGGACTAAACTCAAAACCAATATCGATAACTTTATTTTCTCGTTTGATGTCTTCAATGGTGAATTCTAAACGTTCACCGTCTTTATATAAGGCAACAACAGTGGCAATATAAGGAATTTCCAATTCCGTATAGTTTCCAACCAGTGTAATATTTACTGCAGTGCCTTCTTCCAGCAATTTTTCAACTGGAATGGTTTCAACTTTTTCTTGAGGTTTTGGCAGAGCCCATATGCTTTCTACTTTGCCACCATTAGGCAAAAGTACCGTATATGGTAACCCTGTGAGCATTCCATGACCTTTTCCCCAACTGAGGAAATAAGTATAATTATAAGTCATTACGCTGTCGACTTTTTGAAGTCCTGCTTCGTCATTTTTCAAAACAGTTTCACCAAATATAAGCTTTTTCTTTGGGAAACGACGTCCAGTACGTCTGTACTTGATTTGTTTGAATTCATATGCAGTAGGTTCGGTTTCAACTAAAAGGTCACCATCTTCAAATGGAATTTCAATATTGCTTTCGTCTACCAAGTGATAAACGCCAAGATTTTCTGATGGGTTAAAAGTACCAACATAGTGAGTCAACGACCCAGTTTTCTTCGGGTTACCAGTAGATTTTCGTCCAACAAAGGTTCTGAGAACGTTTTCACCGCTAGTAACTGCTCCTTGAGGTATGTTGGTATACTTATTCTTGCCCACCCAGCTCAGCCTAGCGGCGTGATCGATATTGATGAGTACCTCGAACTGGTGGTACTCCTCTACTTTTTTATAGAGAGAGGCTATACAGACATGGTTCTTGGGCCTCAACTGTCCAGTTACCCATACACCAGTAACTTTAGCTCTGCACACGTAAACAGGTTCAGCGTGATTTTTGACTATGTCGTTATCAGTACCTTCGCCTCCTTCTGGTGGCACTGGTTCGTTGGAAACTGTAACAATAGAGCATTTGTATAAGGAGAACTACTTTGTTCATATTGTATTTTAAATAATAATTTCGATTCCATAGAAACGAGAGTAGGTCTGATAAAAATTGAAGCGCTTAGTAACTCATATTCGAAAGGCTATTAGCTTTTACACAAAATTCATATTTACCATCAGATGTTTGATAAGCCGCCACTACACCGAACCGTAAAACGCCAGGATCTTTTCCATCAGTCGATACCCATTGTAGCGTAGATGAGGTCACAGTTTGTTCCAAGTTTTGCGATATGATGTGCACTGGATCGGCTGCAATGGTCTTTGATAGAAGCACCAGCGTCCCGAAGAGTAGTAGGAAGTAGTGGGAAGTCATTTCAATCTGCAATTAAAGAAAAATGAATTATTGCATTTAGATTCGGAAGGCGCCACGCAATTTTTGTAGCTTTGCAATTGCTGTGATCGAGGATCGGAGGATCATTTTAATAATGGCAAGTTTTTCTCGCGAAATGCTGAATGCTTTCAAACAAATCACTGCTTATTTGAAGTGTAGCTTAATATTGTAAACTTGACGTAGCTTTGTAAACTTAACGTAATCACTTTGGAGCAAACTGATGATACTTTTATTTTCCTTCTGCCATGAAATAATTAATTATAATTCTTGTTTTACTTATTTAATAATTGTGAAATATTGTCTATATATAGCTCTCATCCTGGTTTACAGCCAGCCCTGTTATATTCTAATTTTTCTTCAAGGCCTTTACATCAAAAATTCATTTAATGCAAGTTAGATGAAAACGTTTGTTTAGAATGCATATCCATTAATTAAAAAGCATAAATATTCAATGAAGCACCAGCCTCAAATTCAAGCCCTACACTTTTAATTAAAATTGTATTATTTACAGTCAGTTGGTGAGATTTCAGAGGTCAGCTATGCCACAACGAATGGTGAAAATATATATATATATATATATATATATATATATATGTATTTACATTTGCAGAGTATCTTGACCGTAGAATGTATAAACAATGGGAGTTTCTTGGGGTATCGGTCGCTGTGGAAAAAGAGAATTTTCTTCCTTAGCCCTTCACAGCGACCGATACCCCAAGAAACTCCCATTGTTTATGTATGTACATATACAGGGTGAATCTGAAAGTGAGGGTTTTTTTTTAACAGGGTATATATCTCGCCAAAATAAGTTGTTTGGCAAAAAATTGTTTATATAAAAAATTTAAGATAACGGAGTTACAGGTATTTTTAGGTTTTTGTACAATAAAAATCTAATTCCAAAAATCGAAGATTTATTAAAGAAAATAATATAACAATTATCACAATAATTGTTCAAAAGTATCCCCATTTGTCTGATGTGCGCATAGTGTTGCTCGGCGAATCCAAGACTCAGTGCAAGCTTGTAGAATGAAATTTTCGCGTCCTCGAATTGTTTCACTTGCATTTTGGATTCGATTACGTAGCTCTTCCAAAGTATTTATTTCTGAGGCGTAAACCAAACTTTTCATGTACCCCCACAGATAAAAATCACATGGGTTAAGGTCCGGCGACCGTGGAGGCCAAAAAATTGGTCCATTTCGTCCCACCCACCTATTAGGAAACTGACGATTTAGGTAATGTCGAACTCGACGACTAAAATGGGGTGGAGCACCATCGTGTAAGAATCACATTACTTGACGTATGTTTAAATTCAAATCTTCTAGCAATACCGGTAAATTACGTCGCAAAAATCTAAGATAGTTTGCACCTGTCATCCTATCTGGTAGAAAAAAGGGGCCGATAAGCATGCCATCAATCATTCCAGCCCAAACGTTAAGAGAAAACCTTTGCTGGAAGTTAGTTCTGCGAACAGCATGCGGATTATCCATTGACCAAACATGAGTATTCCGAAAATTGCTTACACCGTTTCTCGTAAAAGTTGCTTCATCGGTAACTAAAACATGTCTCGTAAAATGTTCGTCATGTTCATGTTGTTGTAAAAGCCATAGACAAAACTGCACTCGCTGGGGATGATCACGGGGCATTAGGGCTTGAACACGTTGGACATGATAGGGATACAATTGCTCCTGTCGTAGCGTGTGCCAAACTTTCATTTGACTGACACCCACCCGTCTTGCAATTTCTCGTGAACTAGTTGTGGGATCATCGTCAATCAAATTAATAATTTCCTCTTCAACTGCAAGCATTTGACGCGGTCTACCCCTTCCAGCATGTCTTCCCCGATTTTCCCGTAATTCTCCATAATCTCGAGCCCTCTGAATTAGACGCACAAATGCAGCTGGTTTGGGGTGGATACGTAATGGAAAACGTTCAGAATAAGCACGCGAAGCTGCAGCAGCATTTTGATGGCATTCGCCGTAAATTAGGATCATATCCACCAACTCATTGTTCTCGTACACATGTGCCATTACAAGGAAACAACACAAATTGAGGCAATCACAAAAGGAAAACTATTTTTGATGTCTGATGAATGCCACTTTTATCATAAATGCTGGAAGTCATACACACATTTCCTTTTTGGACAAGTTATTCTATGTAGCTAATGCGCCACCGATATACCATTTGTTTACATTTTTTTGTGCCGCGGTTTATTGTGACAACGGGTTTTTTTTGCACCTTTTTTTTGAGAAAATGTAAACAAAATGTTTTATAGTTGGAGTCTTCTTTAAACCTAAAAATACCTGTAACTCCGTTATCTTAAATTTTTTATATAAACAATTTTTTGCCAAACAACTTATTTTGGCGAGATATATACCCTGTTAAAAAAAAACCCTCACTTTCAGATTCACCCTGTATATATCAAAAACTGAGGCACGTTGGAGTTATGAAATATGATGTGTAATGTTTCTCGAAATGACCACAAGGACTGTGTTTATATGGTAAAGTTATGTACCTATATTTAAAAATGTCAATGTTGTATTAGAAATGAACACTTTTTCAGTACCACGAAATATAATGTTTACAGCCTCAAGTTCGAAACCTGAATGCCTCTTTTCAATCTTTTTCCAGAGCAAGAAGGCACGTCGGTTGGGTCTCTGTGAAGCAGATGACAATTAATATGAACATGAAGTATTATTAGATAGTATTTATTATTAACAACAAAGGGATAACACTACAGATGTTTACCTAGATACAACAGTCGACAATTAACTCTACAGGTTTTGGTGAGGCAGCAACAAAATCTTTAATAAAACGTTTTCCTTTTTACCCATAAAACCGGCCAGCTGAAATTTAATAAAAATTGATTGATGCTGACTGACCCTTACGCTGCCTGATGCCACTGGGAACCTACGCAATCAGACAATGTCGGTCGTTTATTAGATTTACCTGATTTGTTTTTATTGTCCTGCCCGATCATAAATAACGTACAGTTTCAGTTTTGACATCGCGAAAACGTACTGGCAAACAGGCAGGGGAGTAATTTCACTAATTTAAAGGAAACTCAGTTATACTGGTAAATTTACTGCTATGGAGAATTAATAAAGAACGCGAAAACTGTTGATATATTATGTATTTGAGAAGTTAAATATCAGAACAAATAATGTGTGTAATGCTTTACAATAAAAACGTCATGGTGTCAAGAACTTTATGCACAGGGGTATTGTTGGGGATCGGGAGTTGACCGATGCCACGAATGTTGAGTACCTGAAGTTTTCCGCTCGCTTCAATCTCGTACTTCGATAATTAAAACTCGGTATTGTATAAAAAATGTTTCATTTATTAAAATTCTCGTTGAGGGGGTGGGGGACACTTAGTTAAAAATGTTGAGAGGCAACCCGACTGTTCAGAGTGAAACTCGGAATCTGAATACCTTGCCTTCAACTATCTTCCACCAAGGAAAGCAAGTTTGGACCTCCCTAAAGAAGGGTATTTTACAATTTCCTAAAATTAACTTATCCTAACAACATATTTTATTTAGGTGCTAAAATGTTACGAAACGTTTGTACAGTCATAGACCTAAAATTAACCTAGGGGTTGTAATTCTCGCCATCTGTATTATAAAAAAGGCCTGGGAAGGTACTTTGTCTTTGGTGGCAAGAGTACTTTCCATGGGCTGTATTTGACTAAGTTTTTATATTTACAACAATTGGGGTTTCTGCAATAGAAGTACCGACTTTCGATAAATTGGTGTGAACAGGACATTGGTTATATAATAATTCTAGCCGGCATCGTCTTTGAACCCTAACAGCATAAAATATTGTTATAATAAAACTTGTGACTTAATTACATAGATGGTGGAACTTGTAGAAGATGAACATTAGGATTAATGATAATATAAGTAATAATGAATTCACTTGTTCACATCAGTATCATGTATGTAAATCAAAAAAAGTGTAGCATTTAATCACTAACTAAATAGCAATATATTTCATTATTCATAGGTTGATTTTGTTGATTTCACTAATCACATCTAAATCCGCGTTTATTATCAAATTTCAATTTAGTATCTGTCGGTCCAGAGATAATACATGACCTATATAACCTTATTGACGTATGAGATTATTTCCAAAAGAAAATATTTTCATTAATCCTAGAATTATCGAAATTATTTGAATCCACACAACACAAATTAAAAAATATCGCCATTTAAAACACAGTAGAAAATTTACCTCCTCAAACCAGAGCTACACCAATTCTAAATCAACAATCTCGTAAGTAATAACATTTACAACGGTAAATAAATATCGACATAATAACAGTCATAAATAAACCATAGACACGAAACAAGAAAAACTACGAGTTTACGTAGGCGGAGCAAATAATATAAGAACATCACGCCTTTCCGGCAACATTGTCGAAACAAGAACCAAAGGATCCCAGCGCAGACGAGCCCACTGCCGGAGGCAGACTTCTGTTATCTACAACCGGTAATTCCGTACGATCGGCTGTCGTGATAGATAATTTTCATCTTCGGCTTCAATGAACTAGTTATTTATAGATGGGAATAGGTAAAGTATCGAGACGCGATGAAGTACCAGTGTTTCATTATTAGCAGGAGAAATGTATGCATATAGAACGGCCAAAACCTTTCACTTCTAAATAACAGTATCTAATGGGTTTATTTTTTTGCCTTTTCAAATCATATTCACGAAATTGATATTCAATGGGTTTTTGATATCACTAAGTTCATCACCTCGCCACAATAAAGGTTTCGTAGAAACTAGAAAGATTAAACGTGATACCACAACAGTGCGTGTATTTACACAACCCTGACTTCTTCCTGAATAGGTATTCAACCTGATGAGGACGAATCAGCATGTCCCAACATTCTGGTTTTCCGGCCTGTGGCACCACAGGAGATTCTGAAAATTATTAAAGAGCTAAAAAACAAAAAAAATCAACTGGCTATGACGAAATTCCAAGTGTTG